AACACTGTCTCACTGGAGGGACCACCGTTCAGTTCCCCACTCACCTACTGAAGGACATTTTGGGTGCTTGCAAGTTTTGGGAACTAAGAATAAAGCTGCTGTAAACATACATGTGCAGATATTGATGTAGATGTGTCTTCACCTCTTCTGGCTAAACACCGAGGGCTCGGAAAGCGGTATGAGAAAGTACAAATCACTCTGGTAAAGAAACTGCCACCAGCCTGAGTAAGAGTGCCTGCCATTTTCCATCTTCTCTGGAATGGACAGTATCCGTGTTCTCGATTTAGGCTGTTGTGATAAATGGGCAGTGCTGTGGCTTTCGTGTTCTCATGTGCGTTCCTCCACTGCCTGGAGCGTATTTTCATTGGTGTATTTGCCATCTGGGTGTCTCCTTCAGTGATCTATCCACTCAGGTCTTTGGTCCATTTTTAAGATCCTATTGTCTGTGTTTCATCTGGGTGTCTCCTTCAGTGATCTATCCACTCAGGTCTTTGGTCCATTTTTAAGATCCTATTTTTAAGATCCTATTTTTAAGATCCTTGTTGAGTTTTTGGAGCTCTTCATGTGTTATGTTCATGGGCCTTTCTTGGATATGGCTTTTTCAAAGTTTCTCCCAGTTGTGGCTTATCTTTCTCCATGGTGTCACGCACAGAGCAGATAGTTATCATTTTAACCAAGTCTGTCTCAACGGTCTGTCTTTCCTGGATCAGGCCTTTGATGTTTTATCTAAAAGGTCATCACTGTGCTATTCTATGCAGTTGAACTCTAGTTTAACTCCAATTTCATCTGAAAATATTTTATAAATTCTATTCTTTTCAGTTTTTTAAAGTTGTGTTTCATGTCCCCAAGTGGCCTGTCCTTGTGCATCTTCCCTGTGAGCTTCAGAATAATGTGAGTTCTGCTGCTGCTAGGTGAGATATTTTAAAGGTGTCAGTTAATCCAGTTGCTCCTGGTGCTGTGGACTGCGCTGGGTACTTACAGATTTTCTACCTGTTGGAGCTGTCCAGGGTTTATAGAGGAATGTGGATGACTCCCACTATAATAGCAGATTGGTCTATTTCTTAGTGTTGTGCTATCCCCTTCTGCCTCACATAACCGATGTTCTGTTATAAGCACGTAGACATGAGGGGTTTTTAAGTCTTTTGTCCATATGAAATGCCTCTTTATTCATGGTAAATTTTCTTGCTCTGAAGTTTTGCATGGAATTTAACGTTGCCTTTATTGTTTGCTTGGCAATCTTCCTTCATTTCTTTACTTTTAATCTCTAACAGTCTTTATGATACATTCCTTAATGGTAATATACAGTTGTGTTTTATTTTCTTATCATCTCTGACAATCTCTGTCTTTTAACTGATATATAACTAAGAATCCCCACAAATAAAAAGGCATCTTTAATACCTAAGTTGATCGACTCACTTTATTAATACTTCAATATGATGATAATTAAACCAGTGAATAAACATTTGGATGCTGTTGGCATTGAGTACCTTGGCTAGGTGCTGGTAACTCAACCTAGTTTCTTCAAAGCCTAATATTTAATTTCAGAATGATAGAGGATTCACACTTGAAAGCTACCTGATGATGACTGTAATATAGTGTGTAAGCAAATAGAAATTAATGAAATACTTTACAAGAGGAATCACATTATTTCTGCAGTCCATTAGGTCATTTAATGTCTCTGAAAGACCCCTCATCTGTAAAGGAGGAAGTAAGAATGACTCCTCCACAGTTCCTAGGTGGGAGCAAGACAGCAAGCAGGTGCGCAGTGCTGACACTCAGTGGTCATTAGTGTTTGTTTTTTCCCCTTTCTGTTCCCATACGCTAAGCTAAGTGCTGTTATTCATGGAGAACAGAATTGCCAATCAGAATGCTTTATTTGGGCCATGAAGAGTTTTCTTTTTAAATTTTAATTGTTTACCAACCCTTAAAAGTTGAGTTCATCTAAAGCCTGCGTTTTGGTTTCTCCTAAGTCTTATGATGTATGGGGTCTCCGTGGGGCGCTTACCTGGTGGGTCTGAGCGCCGTCTCCCCACCCCTGTCCTCCACTCTCCACTGCTCCTCCTTGTCTCCACTTCAGCCCCCACTTGCTTCCCTGCCTGACGCCACAGGACCTCTGTGTGGGCCACCTGAGGGCCGGGACAATGTGACAGAAGGGCAGAGCTAGTGCAGGAAGCTTTGGGTTCAGAGCTGGGTTTTGAAGTTGTGAAGAAGTCTGTGGACCCCACTTAGACATTCACTAAGCTACAGACCTCTGCCTCCAGCTCCACTTGATCTGCACATGTGCCATGGCTCCTTGATGGGGTCATCGGTGCTTGGAGACCAGCAGTGAGGTGTTGGGTGTCACACCACAGACATTCATTCGCACACACTCGGAGGATTCGGAAGGAGCAAGATCTCTTCCACTATAGCCTCCATCCACCAGCACTTCCCACCCAGCCAGCGGCAGTGCAAGAGGCATGTTCGTGGTCTTTTCTGACCTTGAGAGTGTGGAATGCAAGCAAGGAAAGGCAGAGGGAAACCTGATAGAGTTGACTCTGCCCCTTTTTGTAAGCAGAATGACAGAAATACAGAAGCACAAATCTGTCCATAGTAAATCGAAGAGATTCCTGCAGAAACTGAGTTTTTGCCGGCGACATGGAGCTGATTATCTCAGTCCTCCACTGTGGTGCTCCTGGGAGACCTGGCAACAGTGCACATTTCTGGGAACTGGCAGGTCCTGCGGTGGACAGGAACTGTGTTCTGTGAGCGCAGCTGTGGAGGTCGAGCTCAGGCGCCCCAAGGGGAACACCCATCAGGCCCAGACTCTAACCTACACCAGCACGGCTGGCTCCAAAGCAGGTCCCTGGGGAAGAAGACAGTGTCTGTGCATGGTGAGAAAGGAGCCAGCACCTAGAGGGGGTGCCTGGCTGACCTTCCACGTTCTGGGTCTGTAACGCCAGCTGCTCAGGAAGCTAGGGCTGGAGGATGTCACATTAGAGGATGGCCTGGAAAACTTAGCCAGACTTTGTCTCAAAATACGAGAGAGGGACTAGGGATGAGGCTCATCGGTGGAGAACCCCCGGAGATCCATCCCCCATAAAGAAAAAAAGTCTTTGTAATTTCACCCTTTCACCCCGTATCAGTCACTTCCCTGTTGCCAGAACAAAATGCTTGACACTCAAAGGTTGGAGGGCTAAAGAGAAAATGACAACAGGGACCTGTGTGATTTCAAAGTGTATTGGGGGCTGGGAGGTCAGGGCCTCAGGGTGGGCAAAGACAAAGACACTCTGAGCTCACCACTACTGTTTGGTTTATAGGGAGTACAGAATACTCAGACAGCAGCAATAATCCTGAATTCTCGAGGGTCTTACACCTGGCGAGAGTATCAGGTGACTCCAGGTAGCAGTAATCCTAGGAAAATGAGGATCTTACGTCGAATAGACAGTGAGATGAGCAAAATGTTCTACAGCAGGTGGGATGACCGAAGCTGAGAAGGAATTTGCCCTTCCCCTGGTGAAACCTTTCTCCTTTTGTGTTACTACTTAGTTCTCAAAGAACCAGGACGTCTTCCTCTAATGTAATCCTGCCCCTGAGCGTCACAGCATCGCAGGACCATGAGGCCTCAGGCAGCCCTAATCATAATTCAGTTGTGAAGTGATTTTTCCCAAAACTTAATAGATGGCCCCAACAGAAAGAGAGGCTCCATTTGGTTTATGGATGGGGGATTCGGTCCACGATGGCCTGGCTCTGGAGCAGAAGCAGCATGGTGGGAGGACCAGGTGGAAGAAAGCTGATGCCATCATGGCAGCCAGGAAGTGGAAGAGCTGGAGAGGGAAGTGCGCCCTCCACAGGCGCATCCCCAGCAGCCTGCCTCCTCCAGCCAGGCCCACCTGCTGCCGGCACATTTAGCTATGAACTCATCAGTGGATCCACGCACGCATGAGTACGGTGCCTGCATGGTCCAGCAACCTTCCAAATCTCCATCTAGGACTAAATGAGACTTTGGGGGAACATTCTAGACCGAAACAGTAGCACACCACGTCAGACACATTATTGGTGATTTTCATCTATCTACTGAAACACATGTCTTTTTTCCCCCACCAACTTTTAGCAATTAAAAGAGCAACTTATTAATGAAATCCTTCTGTCTTCAAGTATGAAATTAAAAGACAATCATAACTACAGGCAAGAAAGCATTTGGATTGTGCATCATTCAGAAGTGATAATACAGATTACCCAGATGGTCTCATGTTGCAGTACCTCCCACGGCCTTACCAATCACCTCATTTAGGTGCAATTGTGATTATGTGGCACATTTTAAATTTTGCTGTGTCCTAGGTCAATCCATGTCGGGATGATTTACAAGAAATAGCTGCCATTTTTCTTTTGTAAATGTTTCTTGTTGCTCCAGCAGAATTGGAATTTTTTTGGAAGTTTTACTGTGATGTTGCTTAAACTTTCCCACTTTATCCCTTCTCCTGAAACATCTCAAATTCTATTTTCGTCTGCCCATCTGGGGTGCATCAAACAACTTCTAGTGGTAAAACCTGGAAAATTTTGTTTTATCTATTTATTTCATGTTCACTTCCTGTAGGGTTTTATGGCTTTTTGTATAGGTAGCCACACTTTAGATTATGAGTTTCACAAGATCAGTGAGCAGAATACAGAGCAGGGCTGCTGTCCAGGCCTTTTTGCATCCTCTTCCCCCTGGGGCAGAAACAGTGAGGACTTAGCCCTGCTGTAACACCAGGAGGCTGGGCGTGTTTAAAGTATTTTCAGAATCCCGGGCACATCCCTCTTCTGAGTTGAGAAGCACCTGCAGTTTGAATTTTGATTTTTGTCCCTCAAACACCTGTTGAAATCTCTTTCACACTGTACACTGCGGTGTAGACCTTCCTTTAGTAAAAAGTTAGTAACTCCAGGAGAAGAGCAGTAAAGAGGATGATCGAATTTTACATGCACGTCCTCACCGCCTTTCCCATCCCCACGCGTGTCTACATAACTAAACTCTCTGTCCCAAGGAAACTGGCCAAGAAGAGGAAGGAGACCATGAGCAGCACTCGGCAGGAGATGACCGTGATGGTGAACTCGATGGACAAGAGCTACACCGAGCAGGGCACGAACTGTGACGAGGCTTTCTCGTTCGTGGACACGCACAATCTGAACGGGAGATGTAAGTGCTCATACCCCGCGCTGTTGGCAGTTGCTTCTCCCTGCCCACTGGCATTCTAGGTGGCCCTGGGGAACTGAAGCGTAAGATAAAATTCCTGAGGAAGCCTTAGGCCATGTTCCTTCCTCAGTTTGCACCATCCTGAAACCGTGTCCCACACGTCACTAAGTAAAGAAGCTGCTCACGGGACCAGGGCCCAGAACACAGGAAACCACAGGGAAGTTTCTGTAAGCTCTTCCAGAGCAGCTCATGGAGGCTTCCCCCAGCCTGGGAGGAAGACACCTGCTGCCTAGCATCCTTCACGTTGTTCGGATCCCATTTGTAACAAAGCCAGGTGTAGACCGACAGGAGGGAAGCCTGTTAGAAGACGGTTCCCCAAGTGGCAGTAACAAGTTAATTGTTTGTTTGTTTAGCTGACAGGTTCTGCCATTATTACAGGGCTATCCATGGCAATTAATAAATTAAGCCGCATTTAACCTCACGCCAGGTGGGTAAACCAAGCTCCGATAATTCCTTCCCAGCCTGCCACCTGTGACCCAGGTACAAAGGGTTATTTCTGGAAAGTAACAATCAGACTGATTACACGGTGTGCAGAAGGAGCCGCAGTGTAGCTCCGGGATCTGCTGAGGACTGAGGCAGGCTCCATGCTGGCCCCTGATCCTGTGCTCAAGTCAGGGGCTGCTGTACCCCCGTGTGTAACACCAGCACCCACAGACCGTTGTTCCCCGCCCCAGCATCAGGTCTGTCAGCGCGGGGCTGAAGTCCAGGCACGGGGCAGGCAGGCCTCACGGCTGCAAGGGGCACAGAAAGGAAAACTGCTTCCCAGGTTTGCATAGAAGCTGCTCTGATTTGGATGCAAACTTCTTTCCCTTAAAAGACTGCATACACGGCATGGTCAAAGTACATGGTGATGTTTAATTTTTTAAAAAAAGGAGAGTGAAAGACGTGTCGCCTTTAATCCCCTCCCAATCCTCCCTCTGGCTTTGTGCACACTGATCCTGTCAGTCTTGCCGCGCTCTGAAACAGTTCTGCGGTCCTCCTTCCTGAGGGTTTTTACCAGGGGTGATCGAAAGTGTGGTGAAGGCTGCTGCTCAGAACCGCCCAACAGAAAGGCAGCTCGCAAAACACGATGCTGTGTCCTCATCCACCTTAGTCACTGGCTCTGGCCCTGTGTGGCCTCCAGCTCTTCCCCAAAGTCAACACGTCCATGGAAGGCAAATGTTTTGAATCCATTCAGGATGTCACAGCAGCCAGGACAGTGCAGCCAAAGACACGGAAGAGGACCAGCAGAACCGCTTCAGAAAGTGGCAGGAACGGTGGGTGGGTGGATGCTTTCTAAGCAAGGGGAGTTATTCTGAGTGATGAACGGCAGTGTATCTTTTAGTCTAATGAGTTGTCTTTAAATTTAAGCTTTGGCCAGATATTTCGGTCATACCTCATGCAGTGTTGGCTGGAATTGGTATAGTAGCAGCTGTTTCTTGAGTATCAGCGTGAAAGGGGCCAGGAAGCGTCGATCAATGGTAGAGCGTTTGCCTGGCCTGTGCTCGGCCCTGGGTTCATCCCAGCACTGCAAAATAAAGGGACCACACAGATACACTGATGTTCTCGCTTTCCAGGATAACCCGCTATGTCTCCAAGCTCTCTGTTTCATGGTGCAGTTCCTCATGTATAAGTTTACTTCGAATGACTCGCCTCAACAGTAAGAAACTCCGTTAGTAGTCAGAGGCATTCAAGTTGGAACACGGGATGTTCACATCTAGACAGGAAGTTTAGTTTGGAAGTTACATTTTAAAAATCAGCATCTCTGTGAGCGTCCCAAATGCTCATGCTGAGGACGGTTGTCAAGGGGCCCTGTCTGCCTCCACGGCTGCCCTGCTGTGTCTGGCTTGGTTTGCTGCCTTCTCGGTAAAGCCAGCAGGACAGCCCCCATTGTCCTCTCTCTCAGCACCAGTAGGTGTTGTCCAGTCTCCCTGGGGGGACCAGCCTGGTGGCAGACTTCGACATAGTACCATCCAACTGCCCTAAAATCGGTGCACTTCCTGCGCAGGCCACTTTGCAGGAGGCATCACTGGGCCACGAGGCCACCAGCCCGCCCTGTGGCAGCCGTGCCTAGGTGTGAGGTTTTCTAGGGCCACAGGAAAGTGCTGGGAGCTCCAGGGGGAGTCCCTGCTCCAAGCACACAGACGAGGAAGACCGGGAAGCTGCATGAGCACATTTGTGAGAGGGAAGAATAACCTGTCCAAGCAAAGCAAGTATAAGTTGTGTCATCTCCTTTGAAATGATACAAAAAAGAATATAGGTGTGGATAGTCGGAAATGAGTCTAATCTGTATACTAAAAGACAAGCATTATCTTAAAATATCTTACTTTAACAAGACAGCAAAAGTAAACATAGTCATTTTATGTCACTTTGTACGTTTTTAGCAACCGTGTAAAAATGTCTGCAGGTAATCAAGAGGTGTTACTCTCCCTGACCCCGGCGTAGCCGATGAGTGCGAGTGTTTGTGGTTTTTGTTTTCATCAGCTGCTCTCTCCTTTCCTGGCAGCTTACCGCAAGCATGCATTATAAATGTGATCCCTCTATTTTAGAAAGATTCATATAAATGAGGAATGGCCTGGGCTGCAGCTCTTGCTGTGCCATTATTAATCCTCCCTTTACAAATACTTTCAAGGGTAAGAGCGCTGTCCCGCAGGCCTGTCCCCAAGGCCCAGAGCACATTAGCCTGTCGCGGCGTCCAGGTGACCCACAGCGCTTCCCACGGACCTGGCCGTGTCAGTGTATCCACATCCCGACCGGGGATGTGAGTCCTCAGAGGACGGCAGACGTGGGGCTGTGCCCAGCCACCTTGAGGACTTTTAAATCCTTGTACTTTCGTGGAATGAAAGTGTTTCTCTGTTAGAAACCAACTAAGATATTGAAGAGTTAACATAGCACCTTAAAAATAGGAAATTCCCATTTTCATGGAATGAAAATGTTCCCGGGGGAACTGGGAACTGGGAGAGATTGACGTCCCCTCTCAAAACAAAGGAAGAGGAGGAGAGACGGGAGTGTGTCGGAAGGACGTTTTAAAAAGTAGGCATTGCTGGAAGGGTTTAGAAGACCGAGAACACGGCGCACATCACTTTCGTGCATGCCAAGTGGCAGCCGTGGAAGAGCCGCGCTTCCCCAGCGTGAGGAAGGGGCGGGGGTGGCACACTGCAGCGCGGCCAGCGAGTCCCGAGCCCCCCAGAAGCGTCACCATAGTTTGCGCTGTGAACTTCAGCTCAGCGTGAGTGCAGAGTCACACAGGCAGAGGCTTGAAGGCCGGTGAATCTGTCCGTTCAAAGTGGTGCTGTGGCTGTGGGTGTCCCTTCAGGGGAAAGAAGAGTTTTAAAAGTCACAGAAGGATGTTTGTCCTCTGAAAAGACAGGTGACTACCGGAGACGGCTGGGAGTGCTGGCCCTTGCCGTGTAGACGTGGTGCAGCCAAGGCTCCTTTGATCAGCAGTCGGGAGTGGCGTGTGCATGGAGGGGGTGGTGGCCCAGCTCTCTGGAGCCTCTGAGCAGCTTTGCTTTCCTTTACAGCAGTGTCTTCCCCGTCATCCTTCACAATGAAGACAAATACGCTGAGCACATCGGTGCCCAACTCCTACTACCCAGGTAACAGCCCCCCGCCGTCTGCCTGTGTGTAGCCCTCTGGCAGTCAGAACTGTCGCCCCTCCGCGTCCTCCGCCTGACGTGTTGTAACCCAGGGCTCTCTGTGGCTTTCGGCGTGGAGTGGGGGGTCTGTTTGCCAGTCACTTACTGTGCTCTCTCTCTTTACCTCTCCGCAATGACCCGCTCACGGTGTGTGACAGACCCATTTGTGCCAACTGCAATTTTAGGTGAGAACATTTCCCTTCGCCATGGTTCCTGCAGGAGTGATGGGCACAGTCAGGGCCGCTGGGGGGAGGCTGGAGTTTTACTTCTGCATGATACGGGGATGAGAAGCCGGAAGTGGGGCCAGAGGGGCTGGGAGGGGTAACACGACTCACCAGCCTTGGGCGTGCTCGCATGCGTGCCAGGGACGGTACCGGAAGGTTCAAGGGCCAGTCCCGCCCCACCGTCCTCCCTCTCTGTTTGTAAGAATGTACCTCCAGGTCTGATCCCGGGGGAGGGAAGAGCAATGTGTCCTCACTCAGCTGTGTACTTCCCAGAGCTGAATTCTGTCCAGTGTGATAGCCATAACGGTGAAAATAACTTCTCATTATTTTCACTTATTGCTGAGCAGTAAAAATGTCAATTTCAAACATAATGTTTTTCTAACTATGCCAATGTTACGCAGAACAGTGACCAAAATAGCGTCGGCCCCCCTCCCCAGGCACCCCCAGCCCCCCATGGGTCTGTCACTCAGCGAAATCATTCAGAGGAGCTGATGTTCTGAACAGCAGCATGATATGACAGCGCTTTATAACCATGTGGTTTATTCTGTGTCAGATGTCACTAGGAGTGAGCTAAACTGTGAGCCCGGCGGGGCAGAATGCATTTCAAGTACGAAATATTCCCAGCAGGGGGTTACAGAAAAAGTCCCGTTTGTGCAGTGTAAGAAGGGTGAGGAGAAATGGCATTACCTGGCCGTGATAACCAAACGAGCATGGGCTGCTGTTGCATTTGAGACGCATAAATAACCAGAATGTGTCCCGGCTGTGTTCTCTTTCTACCTCTAACCTTACCGGAAAGGAGCACAACAAAAGCGACCTCCAGGTATATAACAACTCATCATAGCCAGAGTTCCATCCTCCGCTGCCGACTTCCTCTTCCCTATCGTCTTTCCAGGGCGTATATCTCTGCAACATGGTTTCCCTGTGCCTCCATTTTCTCTAAATGGTTACGATTTCTGTAGAGAGGGTCATTTTTGTTTTCCTTATTGTGTTCCCTGGGCTTAAGTTTGTTGCCTAAGAAGAAAGAAAGAACTAAGGTAGAAGTTTAAGACTGAACATAAAATAGATTTGTGGAACTGTGTATCATTTTCAGGGCCAATGAAGAAAGCCCACTAACCACATGCACGCACACACACGCACACTGCCAGGAAAAGCTCCTTTTTTATTCTTTTTCTGAGTGAGGGGCACAAGCTAATCTTGGGCACCTGAGCAATATAATCTACATGCACATGACATGTGGGTAACTATCAAAAGGTGAAGAGCTTCAATTTATTTGTGTAAAAGGCCTTCACTCCCACATTGCTCTCATAGATGTTTTGACCTGGGGCGGGCTGGGTGGGGGGTGAGAATCCTGCTTTGTCAGAAGCAAGAAGGTGTTCAGATTTCACAGCAGGGTTCAGATAAGCTTATTAGACAAACATCATTTTTCTAGAGCTTGATGTTTTGTTATTATGAACACTAATGACATCTTGTAAAGTTGCTTAGGTTCCCCTCCAAGAGGCAGAATCACTGGAACAGACAGTTCAAATTGCAAACATGATGCACATCGTGGGGAAATGAGCCAGCCAGGTGGACGAAGTGCCGGCCCAGTGTGGCCAGCTCCTCCAGTGTGTGTGTGCCGGATGGCAGTGCTTGGGAGTTGCGTCCCTCACCACTACGCAGTGCAGGTGTGCGTCCTAGTGAGGGTTGCTGAGTGAGCCTGTCACCTCGCACCCCGGGGAGAACATAAGCTGTGTCTACTGTAGTACTTCTCAGGGGTAGTAGCAGTTAAAATTTACGTCAAGACAAGAAGGAATGTTTTGTTGTGAATTGCAGCTCAGCATAGTTGAGCTTCTAGTACCTTAACCTTTCATTCTCACCTGCCAAGATGCCCAGCTCCAACATGAGAGTGTAATTGTGTCTTTACCTCATTGCTTCAAGGACAGACAGACAGACAGATGGTTGGACTTTGCTAAGTCAAAAAGATAGCCTTCCTTTCAGTTCACTAGTCTTCAACTGAGTTCTTAAAACTTCAACAGAATTCATTAAAGAACATAGGTAGAATTAATTTTCAGTTCTTAGTAATGCATCAGAACTATTGTTAATAAGCTGTAATTTTTATTTCATCCTCGTAAAGGAATGTTTTTAATTAAAAAATTGTTGATTGGTCATTTTTTCAACAAATGCAAGAAATAGACAGCAAGTGATGTAGTTCATCTAATAACTAGTTTTTAAAATGTCAGAGGAAACTAATGAGCTGCTCACTGTGGTGGATTGCAGAATTCCCGATGGGAGAAATGACCCAGTTTCCTCTCAGAGATGGTGAGGACCACCTGTCCCCTTGTCACCATACAGTGCTAGGCAGTAGTGCTCTTCTAGGTGGAGCTGGTGGGGTTTAAATGGTCTAAAACATGTTCCAGTAGAAATGAGGCCAGGTTGTCACCACGCAGTGACAGTGGCTGTAGCTCTGTGGATTTAAATGTCAAGAACACTCAGGCTTGGGAACAGAGTGCTGCTGGGTTATACATAGATCCACTCGGAAGACCGTCATCATTTAGGGTCAGTTTGGAAGCTGAGGCCCCAATGAAGGGCGAGTTAGTTATGTTCATCCCACAAGGGGCAAAGCTGAGAGAAGAGAGGCACAGTGGGGAGACTGATGAATGTTCCATTTATCGTAGTCTAAAGAGCAGAGCTTCCTGCCCATCCCCACTTATAGTGCGTGGCAGTTGCCAGGCGCAAGTTGGATGTGAAAACGTCCAGGTGTATTTGTGACGTTAAGACGGGAACATACACACTGCTAGAGTTCAAAGCAAATCCAAATTAAAAAACAACAACAACAAAACCAAACCATAAAATCAACTCGCCACCCCTTTTTATTTTGTCTTTGTGTCTTTAGCCGCCTTGTAGTGATCCAGGTGTCATTTCAGCCACAGCGACATAGCTACACACTTGTGTGCCACCTTCATACCATGCATCCCCAGGTGCTTTGCGACACAGATGGCAGCGAGGGTTGAGGACAGGCCCAGCTCCCCAGGCACAGCCCCCTCCCGCTCACTGGAGCTGCGTAGCTCGGTGACAGCGCATCGACCGTGGCTGAAGGCCCCAGCTGAGTTCCCTGTGGATGGAGCGCACCCTGTCCACTACAGCTGAGATCAATTTTGATCTCAGATTCTCCTTCTCATGACGTTAGCCCTGTATTTTGAGGAAAGCCACCCTCAATCATAAAGCAACCAAAGGGATTCGGCATTTTAATGAGTTCACCTACAGAATGTGAAGTTCTTAATCACATTGCACGTTCCCGCCTGCTACATTTTTTAATAGCTACCATTTCTGCAGTTCATTAATCTAATGTACTAGTAGCTGCCCATTAAAACAGAGTCTCTTTAGGCTTATTTGACCAAATTTTGACGTTAATTTTGTGATACAATTTGGTTGACTTGCTCAAGAAATTCAACTGAGAGACTATGCTGAGTATAAATGAGCCTCTTTAGTCATGACTTGGTTCATAAGGGATGAAAAGTAATCAAGACACTAATTTTGACCTCCTTTTCGTTGTTGAGTGCTTGTGTTAAACATCTCCATGCTCACGTGGTGGGAGAATTGGGGCTTTGCCCTCTGACCACCTCAGAATAGAAACCTTCCCTGGAACATTGAAGCACAGAATAGAAACGACCTGTACTTACTCGCACGGTACTATTGCTTATGCCCTGTTTCCTTTTTCTCCTCCTCTTTTCTCCTCCTATGTATCTTCTTAAAAGTGCCAATCAATGGTAAGTGCCCCCGCCCCTGCAGGAGCCGCGGAAGGGCAGCGCGCGTGTCTCCCCGACCCCCGCGCCGGCTGCATGCTTGCCCCTGAGCGCGTCCCGCGTGTGTCCTTGTCCCGCGTCCCAACCCGGAGCATGCAGAGCGCCTCCTCGGAACATCCTCTCCGCACCAGGCCACCTGTGCCCCTCCTGCTCCCCTCTGTCTGGTGTCTGTCTGTTTGCTCTGCTTTGCAGTCAGTCCCCATCCCATGGCGAGCTTCATGAGCCACACCATTTTGTGCACTTTTATTTTGCTCACAGCACATCTGTACAGAGTTTGTTTCCCTCATCATACAAAGGACTGATTCACATTTGGGAGACCGCAAGACTGGGTCTGCACCAGGTCTTGGTGAAGTTTCAGATGGAAACTTCTGCCGAATGAAAGGCTCCTCCGTCGCGCTCGGTGAACACAGTATACCGTTTGGGCTGCTCTGTAAACGCACACACTCCTGCCCCGGCCCACCAGTACTGCCAGCCCCGCTGCAGTCTCAGTGAACACGAGCCGTCCCGGGACTGCTGCCGCCGCAGGCTGTGGGGTGTCGGCGCCAGCGTCCTAGTGGCCTCTGTGGCCCTGCCCAGCCGCCGGCCACCACGCTCACTCTCTCCCTGCCCTTCTTCCCCCAGACGAGACCCACACGATGGCCAGCGACACCAGCAGCCTGGTGCAGTCCCACACTTACAAGAAGCGTGAGGCGGCCGACGTGCCCTACCAGACCGGGCAGCTGCACCCTGCCATCCGCGTGGCCGACCTGCTGCAGCACATCACGCAGATGAAGTGTGCCGAGGGCTACGGCTTCAAGGAGGAGTACGAGGTGGGCACGCGGGGGTGGGCACGGGCGGGGGTGGGCAGCTCCTCCCGGAAACGCTGCCCCTTTCTTCCTCTGCAGCCCGTGCTGCAAAAGCAGTGGCCCCCAGGTTCTCACTGCCTCCCATGCCCGACCACCAGCCACTGTCTGTGGCTTCTTCCGACTAGGACACTAAGTCCTGCTCGTTTTGTAATTCTCTCAGGAAGAAACAGTCCCTTGATAGCAGTCCTAGGCCAAGCAGGGATGAGAAGGCAGCACAACAGTGGTGGCAAACAAGGGCACGCATGCCGCAGCGGGCTGTTTGCCCCATTGAAAGCTCTAAAAGGTTCGCTGTCACTGTAGTACAGGGACTGGCTGTCTGTCGTCACAGCTGTGACGGCAGTTACTGCCCTGGGCTCTCCTATTGACAGCTGTTGGCCTCACCAGGGGCAGAGCGGGTCTCCACTGTCTTCACTTCCTGGGCTCTGCCAGGAGCGTGTGCTGCTGGACGTGGAGGGGGGAGGAGGCTTAAGTGCCTGGTGGAGTCCAAGTCACCTGCATGTGTGGTGGGCAGGTGGACTCTTATCTGTGTGCTGTCAAAGGCAGGTGTCAGTCCCTGATGAAGAGACACTCGCCTGCTGCCCAGAGTGGAGAGGACGGGGGAGCCGTGGGGCTTTTCCCTCTCAGGTTGTGTCTCTGCTCCTGTCTCCCTAACTCTTGTCATCCGGAAGCATCCTATCTGGGATTAAGCATGCCCCTCACAGCCTGCGGGCCTTCCCCGGCTTCTGTCCCCTCCTGTGGGACTCTCTCCATGCCTCGGGTCATGCCCAGTGCCACCTTGCCAAGCTCTCCCCCTGCTGGCATGACCAGCAGGGACTGTGACACACGGCACCAGTGTTGGCGGCTGCATCAGCGCTTTTCTCCAGAGCTCTGTGGCAGGCAGGCAGGCAGGCAGACAGACAGACATGCTGTGCTCGCTGCTATTCGAGTCAGGGTGTATTGACAGGGCCCTCAGAGCAGGAAACACCAGAGCCCGGGACACCGACCCATATCGCACCCGGGCAACCCTGAAATTCTGAGATTTACCCTCAGCAGTTGGGTGTATAATTCGGTGAAGCTGACTGCCTTTGCATGTAGCCTTCTGCACTTTTAAAGACTGGTTTAAGAATTAATAGGATTAAGGGTAAGACTTCCAAAGCATTAATATCTTATGAAAGACAAAATTAGGTTATTGAGAAAATATAAGCCTAATGAATAGCAATGATGTCTTCGTTCTATCTAATATTCTGAATGCAGGTATTGCTCTAATGTTTATTAAAGATGTTAATGTCAGAGAGATTAGTTAGAGGCTCAAAGAACAATTTATAAAATAGCCTGAATCCGCTTTTTCATGCACTATTTAAAAATACCTTCCTTGTGACTATAAATGACGCTTATTAGAAAATATGCCAGAAATTATTTCTCATGGAGGGCTCCTGGGGATATTTGATTTATAGGTGCAAAATGAATCTTACACTCATTTCAGTCATATTAGGCCTAAGTTAGACATTAGGAGTCCTTATACCTGAAAGAAACTGAGGTATTAATTACATTTCCAAACAAATCTCTCTACTGATTCGGTGATCAGAGAGGATAGTTTAAAAGTAAACACTTACTTAAGCTCCAAATGTATCATCACTTTTTTTTAAAAGAGGGAAGAGAAGAAACGCCAATAGCACATGCTAGAGAAGACAGCAGGAACACAAGGAAGGGCACTGTCCCGAGATTGAGAAGGGAAAACTCTGTTAGGAATAATCCCACCCTTCTGTCCCTGTCCCCACACTGCCCTCCAGGGGTCACTGGTGCCGGGAGGGCCAGGTGGGCGGAGAGGACGAGGGTAAGGGTATGAGTGATGCTGCGGGAGGAAGGGCCCCGCCTAGGTAGCACCTCCGGAAGCCTGGTGCCCCGGCCTTCCCGGCTTGTTCTGGGTGTCACCGAGCAGGTCTGGGGCCGGCAGTGTAGCCAGCAGCCCCTGTCCATTTTCTCTGACCCCAGGGAGTTCTTACACGCACGTAAATCTGGAGAATCTTTTTTGTTTGTTTGTTTTTGTTTTTGGTACCAGGATCGAACACTGGTCCTCATGCTTGCGAGGCAGGCGGCAGAACCACTGAGCTAAATCCCCAGCCCTGTCTGGAGAATCTTTAAGCAGTTCTTTCTGAAAGCCCAGCTGGATTTCAGACCTGTCACAAAGCGAACTTCACACCCATGTGATTCGTGTGCCAGGAGCGGCTTGGCCTGGTGGGTCCTCGTGCTGCTCGGCCGCCACCTCCCTGGTGGGACCTAAAGGGCCCAGGCTCAGGACCCAGGCTCCACGCCCTGCCTGTGTGACGTAGGTGAGCTGTGAGGTGGGGTCCTTCAGAGCGTGGCATGGCGCAGTCCATCTCCGGCAGGGGCACGGCCAGGCACGCAGGAGGCATTCGCAGGAAGAGGTAGCAGTGCAGGAGGAGAAGGCCGACATGTCCTGGGGTCTGAGAGAGGACACCCACAGCACGGTGGGCCAGGAGGCCACATCCCCTGAGAGCCCTGTCTGCCCCCCCTCGCATGAGCACCAGGGCACAGGGCCAGCCATGCACTGGGGTAAGGTGTCTGTGCCGTTTGCTCCATTGTGGGGCTAGATGGCAGCCTCCCCACGGGTCCCCATGCTCACAGGTTCCCAGGATAAAGTCACTTGAGGCAAACGGGCCCGATTCTGTGGAGCAGGAGTTGAAGAACTGAGAAAAGTGTCTTAGGTCTGTGCGCTCCCCTAGCCTTGCGTACGTAATATTTCCACATCTACGTTAGGAAAGGCCTGGGGATTCTGCAGCAACAAATGAGCTGTAGAATCTTCTTTAAAAGCCAAGGGTGTGTCGGTGTCTTTGGCAGAGTAGGGCTTGGGGGAGGGTTGAGTATCTCAGACCGCAGGGTGCGGAGGATGGGGGCCCACAGCGTGCCTCGGTGCGGAAGCTCGCGGCACAGGACCCCGCAGCTGGACGGCCACGGCAGGGCATCTGGTCAGAAACCGTCCGGGACGCATTCCAGGTAGAGGCACAGCCTGGCAGTGAGGCCCCGGGGAAGCACAGCAGGCGGCTTCCTCCATGAGGGACGTTGGACGTACCGCTGGGACAGAAGCAAGACGCGGGAGGCCTGAGTCTCACCCAGCGTGCGGGTGAGATCTGGCGGTGTGAGCAGCTTGGCCTTTAAATGTCAGTTGTCAGAGGCACAGGAGAGCTGCTGACCTAGGAAAGGTCAAAGGGAGAGCGGAGGTACAGCTCTGTCCCCGTGTGGAAATGCTCCCGCGTGGCTCCCAGGGTCCCAGGCGTGGGTGACATCGGGCCGGGAATGTCCCGGAAGAAAAGGACCGCGAAGGGTGTCGTCGCTGCCGTGACCCGTGTCTGCCGTCATCCACTCCATCTTTCTGGTCCCCTTCTGTGGTGTATTTGGGTCTTAATTTCTGGAGCAGGGAATCTCTCTGTGGACCCCACCCCGTTCATCTTTCCTGAGGTGGCAGTGTCTGGAAATCAGCCTGGACACTGGCTTCGTTCCTGGTCTAGACCCACCCGAAGTGCATCCAAACTGGGTGGGACGGAGGTGGGATGAGGGAGCCGCGGGGGCAGGCCTCCGTGTGACTTGGTTCTCACAGGACAGTCGTGTGGCACACTCGTCGGGAGATGTAGTTATTTGACTCGAAGGAAATGCAGAAATGAGTCACAGTGAAGTAAACATGCTGAAGTGAGCAGAAAACGGCGCGCTGCTGCAGTGGCAAAAGGACGCAGCCGCTCTTGGGGCCAGTGCGGGGTCGGCCATGCTGCCTGCAGGCTTCTTGGCCTTTGTCACCAGGGTTGCCAGCGGGGCCTCACTGCCCTCTGTCCGGGACACAGGGTCCCTACTGTCCCGGCAGTGTGGTAGCTGCCAGCTGTGCAGTACTGCAGGGACGGGGCAGTGGCGACCCTGTGAGCCTGTAAAATGACTTTGCTCCCACTCTGTGCTCCCCACAGGACCTTGCTTATTCCTCATTTTTGTCTTTATTCTCTACGCATACCTGATCGCCGCGCATAAGGATGACACGGCATTGTGGGGTGTTGGCGCATGTCCGTAACACACCACCATTTTCTGTTCCTTTCTCCTCCTTTCTTCTTCCATCTCTTGGTCCCCCTCCTTTTTGCAAACATTCTATCTCCAGCTTCCTATTATCTACCTTTTATTTCATCTTCAGTTACCTTATGCCTTGATTTTGGGACTGATCCAGTGTCCTTTGGGGATCGGAGCAAAAGGACGTGGACCCAAAGCAGGCAGACAGCTCCGCTCTTCTGCAGGAATGTGCCTGCTGTGACAGATCACGGTGAGGGGACGGCGCCGGTGCCCCTTCCACGGGAGGTCCTGAATGATGCCGACGGCCCAGTCGTCAGCTAGGCAGTACCGCTCTGGGGCGGGAAGATGGATTTGCCAGTCACTGCTAGAAACCCAAGCAGCTCTTCACATCCTACTCTTTGGAAACATTTATGTGTCCGTGTGCATCTCACTGCATTTAGAAAAGTTTTTCCTTTATTCTACCTACTTTGCGGCCTACCGCGAATCTCTCCAGGCACAAATGCTGGGTTATTTTGTAATTGAACAGGAAGATTGTTTTATTGCTGTTTAAACCCAAGAACTGAAGACATTATGTAAAACTCTTCAGGCTTACGAACAACACATGGGTTTTGCTGAGGAACCTGGGTTTTCCTTAAATGTATTGAAGGTGCTGTCTTCTGAGACATGGTTCCTTGTAGGTCTTTTTCACCCCCCGCCCTTTTTGTTTTGGTACTGGGGATCAAACTCTGGACCTTTTGCTTGCAAAGCAGGCAGCAGAACCACTGAGCTAAATCCCCCAGCCATTATAGGTCTTTTTAAATGATGGTTTGTCTATCTCCCCCCACACACACATCCATCTTTTCCATCTTCTAAGTAAAATAGCTGAATGTGTTCAGGGCAAGCACTGGGTTTTGTGTGGTGCTTTTGCCTGTACTGGACCA